TTTCCTGTAGTATTACAGGTAGATCATGTGAGATAATAAGGTCCAGTGTGTGGCCAAGATTATGTGTGGGTTTATGCACTGATTGTGACAGGTCAACAGTGTCCAACAGGCAGAGGAACTCAGATGCTAAAGTATTTGATGGACAGCACACATGAATGTTAAAATCCCCACAAATTAAGATGTTGTCATATGATGGGACAAACTCGGCCAGAAATTCTGAAAACTCAGTTATAAAATTCTTATTGTACTTAGGTGGGCGGTAAACAATGGCACACAAAACAGGGGTGACTGACTCAAATAAAAAGAGCTGCAGTTCAAAACTACTGTAGGCTTTGGTGGGCAGAAAGCGACAGGTGTATGTATGCTTATACACAGTAGCCAGGCCACCACCACGGCCTGAGAGCCGCGGTGTACCGAGGTATGAATATCCAGGTGGGAGGAGCTCAGTGAAGGCGCTGTTATCACCAGATTTTTGCCAGGTTTCCGTCAGAAAGCAAAAATCCAGATCGTGCGTAGAAATGAAGTCGTTTATGATGAAAGTCTTGTTTGAGAGTGAACGGGCGTTGAACAGTGCTGCAGAGAGACAGAGAGATCCACAGCTGACAGGCTCCGAGACAGCGCGGACCAGTGGGCGGAGATTCTCCCGTGAGCACCGCCGACTCTGGATCCTGACGGGGCGGCAACGCGGAAGGGGGTGCCCAGCATCAGGGCTAGCTGGACACAGCCACCGATAGCAGAGCTGGAGGGGACGCCGGAGGTCGAAACCGGAATCTGATGTCCAATTGCGATTATCCACACCGGAGGACGCAAGGTATGCCTTGAACCTGACAGAGATTCCGCCTCTCTTTCCTCGTCTTCTGCGCCTCTTGTTGCGAGGCAACCCGCTCACATGACGCAGCAGAAAGAGTGGGACAGACTCGAGGACAGGTGGTGATGTCTTAAAATGTCCATCAAAGGCTTGAACGGGCACATAGTTTACAGAATCCCGGATCTTTAAAAGTGTCAGGCGATCATAAATCAACAGCGACGTCACATTTTCGATAATAAGCCCTATAAAGAGCAGAAAAATCACCAAATGTGGTAGGGGCAGACGGCGAACCATACACAGCGGCGCCATCTTTCCACCGGATTTTCTGAAACCCCTGACCACAAAATCCCAGAGAGGAGTCTGGGCAGAAACACTGTTTGTTCACTGGATTAGACACACACAGTTCACTGGATTAGACACACAGAGTTCACTGGATTAGACACACAGAGTTCACTGGATTAGACACACAGAGTTCACTGGATTAGACACACAGAGTTCGCTGGATTAGACACACAGAGCTCGATGGATTAGACACACAGAGTTCACTGGATTAGACACATAGAGTTCACTAGATTAGACACACAGAGCTCGCTGGATTAGACACACAGAGTTCGCTGGATTAGACACACACAGTTCACTGGATTAGACACACAGAGTTCACTGGATTAGACACACACAGTTCACTGGATTAGACAAACAGAGCTCACTGGATTAGACACACAGAGTTCACTGGATTAGACACACAGAGTTCACTGGATTAGACACACAGAGCTCACTGGATTAGACACAAAGAGCTCACTGGATTAGACACACAGAGTTCACTGGATTAGACACACACAGTTCACTGAATTAGACACACACAGTTCACTGGATTAGACACACAGAGTTCACTGGATTAGACACACACAGTTCACTGGATTAGACACACACAGTTCACTGGATTAGACACACACAGTTCACTGGATTAGACACACACAGTTCACTGGATTAGACACACAGAGTTCACTGGATTAGACACACACAGTTCACTGGATTAGACACACAGAGCTCACTGGATTAGACACACAGAGCTCACTGGATTAGACACACAGAGTTCACTGGATTAGACACACAGAGTTCACTGGATTAGACACACACAGTTCACTGGATTAGACACACAGAGTTCACTGGATTAGACACACAGAGTTCACTGGATTAGACACACACAGTTCACTGGATTAGACACACACAGTTCACTGGATTAGACACACAGAGTTCACTGGTTTAGACACACACAGTTCACTGGATTAGACACACAGAGTTCACTGGATTAGACACACAGAGTTCACTGGATTAGACACACAGAGTTCACTGGATTAGACACACAGAGTTCACTGGATTAGACACACACAGTTCACTGGATTAGACACACAGAGTTCACTGGATTAGACACACAGAGTTCACTGGATTAGACACACACAGTTCACCGGTACAGAGCAGTGTCGTTGTGCAGAGTCTTATTATCGTGACAAAGGCGTCTGTCTGAAGCTCGTGACGACTGCGAGCTCTTTGTTGTCGGGGCGTTTGGAAACAGCCGCAGGTCGCAGACTACAAACAGAATCATGTGCAGTTTTAAATAAAAGATCTGAGCAGCAACAGAGAGGCATATTTCCAGACACTACCAAAAAGTTCATCTCTCCATGAAAAGTATTGTTGCTTTGAACAGCTGCAGCCGAGGGGTAATGTGATCACCTGTGTTGGTTCAGTGTTAGTTCATAGATTGGTACATTTTCAGTGACACGCATCCAGGATGTTTTATACATTCTAAATCTCAATATTCAGACTGGTCCAGGCCTGCAACGGAGCCTCTCGAAAGTCTGGACACCCCTTGAACACAGTGTAACCGACAGATGTGAAATAAAAACAAAATGATACAAGTAAAAAAAAAAGAGAAAATCGAGAAGTCTGCACCAGTTTTATTTTATTTTCTTACAGCAGGAGTTTATTCTTTGTGCAGCAGCAGCAGACGGTCGTTTGGGGTTTCACTCTAACGGATCTGCACATCTAGAGACAAAAAGTTTATCTCATTAGGGAAAGGTGTGAACTTTCAGACCATTTAATGCACTCGGAAAGACCCAACCTTTCTATTTTCATAATAATAACTGAATCATGTGTTGTTCTACTCTAACTTCACATTTGTCGCTCACTTGTGTGTGAACTTCTCAGTAAAAATGGGATCTGAGTTTACCGTGACGTATGTAATGCGCCTGAGTGAGTGAGGCATTTAGCATTTAGCCTAGCTTTAGCATGTAGCTATAGTATTTAGCCATCTCCTTTGCCACTAACAGAGCCCGTCTCACTCCATGCCAGAGGTCTCCGCTTCACGGGTGAAACTACAACTGAATGGATTGGCTCCAAGTGGGCGGAACCAATCCGTCCTGGAGCCAATCAAGATCAACGCTAATGCTACATTTTTAGAATGCAGGAAACTAAAAATAATCACACATGTTTCAAACTACCTTCTTTTCAGGACACATCATAGATTCAAATTATTACTATTATTACATCATTTGTCATGTCATTAGTGTATTATTCCATCTCTGGGTCTAGGGGGGGTCTGTCAAATGTGAGATCAATAAATTGTATGTGAATATCTTAATATTATTGCTTGCTAATTACTATAGAAACTGTTTCATGGAGTTTCAGATATGCTAACACGTGTAGTTTAAAACTGCCTTCAGAGGTATCCAGGTGCAGTGAATAGATTTACAGTCTCATAAATTGGACTGTCTCATGGTCCTTAAACTGAAGCCACATGGTTCATTCTGCTCTGCCATGTTTCAATGTGTTTACAACAGCATCTAAAGCCTAGCGTACATCGACAGAGAAACTGGAGACAACTAGTTGCAAGGCGGCTTTTGGCGACTGAGAGGAGATGATGGAGATGATCAGTTGAAATCGGTCGATGTGAGCGCTCTTACAACTGGAGATGAACAGTCGGTCTCCAGTTTCAGTCAGTTGCCCGTGTTCTACTTTTCGGCAACTAGTTGTCCTCAGTTTCGGAGATATGACCCGATGTGCGCGCTCCATGCGCCGCTCCGCACACGTGTGTGTATTGCGTGTATTGAGCCCGCAACAGTTTATTTCAGAAAACACACTGTGGTTGAGGCCATTTGCTGTCGATGTACGGGAAGTTATTCCTCAGACTGGCCTGATACTGGGAGTTGCCCGTTTTCGTCAGATTGTCGATGTGTGCGGGGCAGCAACTCATATGCGACGGATATAATCAGTTGTCAGTCTGATGTACGCTAGGCTTAAGGCATAAGCACCATCCTTCTCTATGACAATCAGACTTTGGCAGAGTCGTAGAGACTATAGTAGAGCTGTGTTGACGTACTGTATGTAGACTCTTGCTAGACTTCTGCAAGAGCGCCCATGGATCAGACTTTGGAGCTGTCTGGGATCTTTCTTAAAACTACTAATAAACGCCAGTTGAACAATGCAACCTCCGGATGTCTTTTTGTCTCATGTCTAAGCTCATTTTATTTCACATATATCTCATCTCAAAGCACCAGTCTTTCTGATCCACTGCAGGTGGTGAGTCCACGGGAAGATGGCTACTCCCGGTGTGTGAATGGTTGGTGGTGGTGGGAGGGGCCAATGGCACAGACTGGTTGCCTCGCTTCTGTCAGTGTGCCCGAGGGCAGCTGTGGCTACAGTAGTAGTTTATCAACAAGCGCTGTATAAAACCAATGCATTATTATTATTATTACTAAAGCTTCAGACACAATTACAACAGTTTTGCAGCAGTTATTTAAGGCACAATGATGGACAATAGATGTAGTTGGCGTTGGAAAAACAGCACTTTCTTGTCTACACTTCCAACCAGAACAAAAGCCAGATCCCGAGCGCAGACACCACGGGCCGCTGGCCTCGAAAACTCCACTTACATCTCTGCACACAGCGCCGCTCGGAACATAACAAGATATTTTCAGCCACTCGGTTCGATAACACGGCGAGAATAGCACGGCTCACTGTTGCCTGCAGAAAGTTTTTAGAAAGTCCAATTTGACCCAGTACCGCGGTAGCCTTGGGTATTCGCCCCGGCTCCGCTCTCTTCTCCAACCGAGCGCGTCCAGATCCTCCACCGCCTTTGAAAAGCACAGCAGGCTTCTCTTCGCCGACATGACTCACTCCACATCGTCCCACGCTCATGATTCACGCCGCAGAATGGCAGAGGCCGGGGTTAAGAGTATGGGTGGCCAGAGTGCAGCCGGGACGTCCCACTGCGCAGCGGGTGCAGACCGGATTAGCCGCGGCGGCGTGTGGACGGGTGGATGACGGGGGGAGGGCTCTCGGGGGGATGTTTCTGCAGACCGGAGAAGAGCTCATCCAACCAGAGCCCAGAGAGTGTGGCTCCTGGATGACCCTGGACACTGTGCACCGCTCTGGGGAGAGGGAGCTACACACGCCCAAAGATATGAAGAGGTGGTTTATGTGGAAGGTCTTGGCAGGGATTGAGGGATTCAACCGTGAATATCATCTCAGCGCTTGAACAGTTTGTGTATTTTAACCTGGACAGGGTTTTAGTTATTGTTATTCATTGTTTTTATGTATTTATCTTTATTTTATTTTTAGATTATTACTCATTCTGTTTAGAAGTCTTGAACTTTTTTATTTTTTGTATTATACTTCTTTATAGCTTCTCTGCACATCAAAAGGGAAAAGGGGATGTGGAGAACAAAAAGTGTTTTGGATCAAACCAGCGCAGAAATGTAAATACAATGTAAAAAGAAAAGATGAAGAGATTCTTTTTTCCAGCAGTAAAATGTCAGTGTTCACCAATTACAGAAGAGTAACATCTCTGACTTTAGCATCATGAATAAGTAAGTATAATATCTCTGATTTATACTGGTGTCTGTGTTGGTATTAAGGTTAAGTTAAACGATAGTTATCCCTGTAAACCAGGGGTGTCCACTTTAGTTCCCCAGACTAGTCCAGGGGCCAACATCACGGACTGAAAAACTCTCTTGACTGTTCTGAGCTTTAAAATGATCTCTAACAGAGCTGAAGTTGGCTGAATGACACATGTTTACCATCTCACCAGCGTCAGTGGCACCATTAATGGAAGGTTGTGACATAATCAAAAACCAGGTGGGTAAAGTTTGTACAAATAAAGTCAACGACTGAATGATCACTGTGTGAAACCTGCACTACTATTGACACTGTTTCCAATTGACACTTGTCACTTTTGTTGTACATAATTATTGTCACTTTATTGTACATATATCCTGCATGTAACATGTTTGCACATTTCCTCCCTTTGCACAATCTGAGTGTTCTATCCATGCCAAATGTGACATGTAAATTTCTCCTCTGTGAGATAAATAAAGCAATCTTATCGTATCTTATTCCAGACGTACTGGGCTTTAGAACATGTCTGTTGTGGCTGAGCTGAAGTTGGATGGATGACACAGTGAACTTGTGTTTATGATCTATGAGAAATAGATAGCTATACAAGAGATCTGTGTAAGTCACAAGGACTTTGTGTATCTGCTCTGACTGTGTTATGACTCTAATATGTACTGATTGTCTCTTGATGTGACACATGTGTCTTTCCATGTGTGACGTAACAAATGACCACATACAGCGTGTCATAACTGGGTTCTGTCTGAAAAAAACTGAAGGAAACTGAGAATAAACCTGAAGGTTGCTCTGGTGCGTTAAGATCTGTATGTGAGGTTGTTTTTCGACAGACCTCAAAGACTTCTTTGGGTTTTCAAGGCACAGGGCCACATAAAATGACACAGAGGGCCGCGATTGGCCCCCGGGCCTGAGTTTGGCCATGCCTGCTGTGGGCCATGTGCCATCTGCATTTGACCCATCTTTCATGATCACATTCAGAGAAACGATAATAGATCCTCCATAACAAAAACCTCCTAATCCATTCTCTTTGCTACGGCATTGTGAGTATGTAGTCTCTGTATAAGTGACCTTCTTGCTGTGAGGCCTGGGTGCACAACTTCTACAAACTCTTTCTGTTCCAAAAAGGTTGATGTCACATGTGCAGTATTGAAAGCAGGAATAGTTCCAGGCAAAGACAGAAGGTGTAGTTTCCGACTCTGTCCATTGTGTGTACAGTAAAAGTGAGAATCCAGTTTAGAGGAAGCTGCTGCCGGTTTGTGCCGAAGCCGAGGCCAGTGAATAATTCATGGATCACAACATCTGCCGTTCACACAAACTCTATTTCTGTGCATCCAGTTCAATCTTTAATGTGACAGACTTTAATGTAAACCCGACAGAGACGTGCGGCTGTGGAAGTGTAAAAGAACCTACTCCAGAAACGCAGAGCAGTGTCATGACAGCGGCATCAGAGACGGCGGCCATTTTACCATTTTATTAAATTATTAGCAGTGGTTCATTATTTATTTTATCACCCGTTCAAAAGGTCAAGTTTTTGAACCCGTTACTCCACATTCTCTACTTCACTTTAGAAAGAAAACTAAAGAAATGTTTTACTTTCTAGATCGGATTTCTATAGTTTCAGTTTGTAACCTGTGCATGACTGCCATAATACCATAAACCATAGTTATGTAAAGCTCAAATATAAATACTTCTTTATTTGACAACATGTTTAATCCTTTCATTTTCACACCTCTAAGAAAACATCCATTCATCCAATTTCTTCCCCTTAATCCATGTCTGGGTCGGGGTGGCAGTCAGAGCACCAGCCCCTCACTGATCCTCCTGCAGGTGCTGAGTCCACAGGAGCTGAGATCTTTCAGTGGGGGCTTCAGGCAAAGTGGGGTTAAGTGTCTTGCCCAAGGACACAACGGCAGCAGACATCAGTGGGAGTCGTGAAACAGGTCTTACGGTGGGCCTGAACCCACAACCTTTAGGCTCAAAGGCCAATGCTCTACCAACTGAGCCACTGTCGCTACTAAGAAAGCAATGTTTTTTTGTTTTTTTGTTTCATTTTCAAAGCTGTAGTAACTTTAATAACAACAATTTTTGTTTTTTGCAGTTACATGCAGTTTGATGTAAAAGGGCCTAAAACCAAGTGGTAAAGAGATTCCTATGTTCAGGTATTTTCTACCCTGGTCTTATTCTTCCGTATCTCTGCTCAATGATAATCTCCTGCATGTAACGTCTGGGTCTGGTCCCTGTGTTTGTGATTACAACCGGTTGAATTTCGACCGACCAATCAGAGAGCGCGGGAGGCGGGTGTTGTAGTTAGTTGTGGGTGACGTCAAGAGTTTGCGTCGAACGGGAAGGATGTAGTTTGGCAATGGTGAAAAATGTGATAGTAAAGTATTCCAGTCTGGTTCTATCAAGAAACTGAAGCCGGAGCAAGAGGAATGTTTAGTGAATGTAATCGCTGCAAAGATTGTGGCGCTACTCCCCACGGGCTCTGTTAACGGCAAAGGAGATGGCTAAAGCTAGGCTACATGCTAAAGCTAGGCTAAATGCTAAAGCTAGGCTAAATGCCTCACTCGGGCTCATTACATACGTCACAGTAAACTCAGATCCAATGGTTTCAATCTGCAAAAGGAGTTAGCCCCTCCCACCTGTTCACGGAGTTAATGGAGACAATCCAGACCTTAGTATGTGTGTGTGAATGGTTGGTGGTGGTGGGAGGGGCCGATGGCACAGACTGGTTGCCTCGCTTCTGTCAGTGTGCCCCAGGGCAGCTGTGGCTACAGTAGTTTATCACTACCGTGTTTGGAGAGAGAGGATAATGATGTGAAGCGTCTTGAGTGTCCAGAAAAGCGCTGAATAAAACTGATGCATTATTATTATTATTATTATTATTAGTACCAAAAGTAATTTGTACTATGGTGTGGTAAGAACAGGCTAGGCATATTCAATTCCAAGCTTCAAATAGATTTAAGGATCCACCCAATGATTGAAGGGTTAATCCTTGTGCACGCCTCAACTCGACAAAGTAATTGCAAATACCCCCAGTCATTTTTATTCAGATTTGTTTTTGTTGGGTTTTTTTCTACTTCTACTGTGACCCTCCTGATGATGCAATAGTAATCTACTGATCTGAATCATAGAGAGGTTAGAGAGGGGACTTTTACACATCATAAATACTGTTGTGTCACGATCCTTTTCTCTTTTCTTTGCAAAGGATCTGCATTGTCTGAGTTGTGAAAAAGTGACAGAACAAATAAACTACTACTACATTATAGAATGATCAGAGTGCTACATGCTCTTCTCCAAGTGTAAGTCATGTATGTGTTCTGTTTTCTGGAGGGTATAGCTCAACCTTCTGTGCTGCCGCAGACACCGAGCGAACAGAAAACATCCCAGAGCCCTCAGCGTGAACAGAAAGAGGTCCCAGCGTCAGAACCAACATCTCTGCAAAGGTTTAGTGGGAAATGACTGGTCCTTTTTATCCTGAAATGTTTCTTTTGAAATCCATCAGTTCTGAATAAATCCACACGTTCATGACGTTCTCGTCTAATCGTCCGAGCGCAGGTTGGTCAGCAGCGTCTGACGGCCGTGCACCAGTGGATTCAGATTCAGATTCATTTATTTACCATTTGCAGTAAAACCACATTGGAAAAACTGTGCAAGACAACCCCAGTGTGCGCCAGACAGAGGCGGCACACACCAGAGCTTTAGCCACGGCGCCATCTTTACGGCGCCATGCGACAAACAGTAGAATAAACAGCAGAGAGCAGTAACATGTCACAGACAGTTTGGATAAGACACATTATGTTTTGGATAAAACACGGATGTTTTTATTATGGAAGTGAACTCCGGCCGCCCTTCGCCAATGTGGGCCGTCAGAGGGGGCTAGGTGAGGGGGGGATGAGCAGGAAAGACTTAGAGGGAGTGAGGAGGGAGAAGGGAGTAGGAAGGGGGAGAGGAGCGAGGGGGGGGAGGGCAGTCCAAAGCTGGTATAGCTGTAAAAGTGTGAGGCTTGTGTAAATGAGAGAGTCCATGTTATCTTCGGCCTTGGCAGTAGGTACTGTATGTGAGATAAGAGCGGAGAGGGACAATATTATATGCAATGTAGCGGTCAAAGGCAAGGCAGATATTCAATTAAATCCAATTAAACTGAATTGTGGCGCCCTCAGAACCTCCGTACACAGGGGCGTATCCATGCTGGGTCAGAGAGTTCACGTTTGGCAGACAATGTCATTCAGCCTCATGTCTCAGGTCTTATGTCCTTCGAGTGAACGTGTTGCGAGGTCTTTTATCAACTGTTCCACGAACACAACTCTCCTCTGTCCAGACACGGCGCTCTCAACCACCACACGAGTCAACTCCTTGTACATCTCCTCAATTTTGTTGGACAGCAGGTTGTGAATTTTTTGATCCGCCATCGTTCCAAATTTACGGTAGAAAAGGACCGCTCCAAACCCGAAAAGGAGGATCCCCACCACCAGAATTCCAAACATATATACGTCTTCTGAATCTTCAATAAACAGGACTGACAGACAGAGGGGTCTCCACTTGTTCCAGCTGTCGAGAGTATACCCCGCAGGTGCAGTCCCGTCTGGACACGAGGGCTCCCCCGGTCCTCGCTTACGTGTTGAAAAA